ATTCTGCTTTGTGACGCTATAATAGTTCGACTCGTTTGAAACTGCTACAACGAAAGGTACAGTTTGGTACCTTTAAAGTTAAAAATTGTATTGTCATTATATAAGCGCCGGCGCTTATGGCTGTTCCTCAATTACAAGCGCCACCCCTGAAAAAAATTAACTTATTATAAGCGCATATGCGCTTTTATCCGGGGCCATACGGTACCTGCTGATTGACCTAGGAGAGCCGCCTCGTTCTCCTCCAGTTCTGTACGTAGACAACAAGGTCATGCTGGCCTTGTGTCGGGAGCACAGACTGGAGCACAGAACGAAGCACATTGTTCTCCGCTACTTCCTTGCTCGTGAGCTGCAGCAGCGTGGTCAGCTCCGCCTCACCTACGTGGCCTCTGAGGCCAACACTGCTGATATCTTCACCAAGGCCCTTCTGCCTTGTGATCATCAGCGCTTCTGTACTGTGCTAGGTCTTGTGCCTACTTGGCCTCACTTGCTCACTTCTTGACCTTGCTTGTACTGTCCTCTTTCTATACCTGCACTTGCTTGTTTACGTTTATATATATGATCTTGCATGTGAACTGGCCTTGTGGCCTTGCTCTTGTGCTCGGACTGTGTGGTGACATTGTGATCCACCCTGAGCTTTGCTTTGCTTTGCTTGACTGGTCTTGTGACCCCTTGTTCTCCCCTACTTTGACTATGGGGGTGTCTCAGGCATATATGCTATAGTCTGTGTAGGCTGTAGTGGGGCAGTTCGTATGGGGTACAGCACTTTAGGGTTTACTACTTGTACTCCTCATTCTGCTCAATGCATTCATTCTCGTTCTAACGTTCACACGAAGCAACGGCGAGTCAACCCTCGGAGATTGACCGGTTGCTAGAGGTTACGCGAAAGTCAAAGGTCAGCGACCTTTGATCTGACAAATACAGCGCGACAGCAAGGACATACAACTGACTCGTTACAGAGCAGTTGCCCGAGTCGTCACTGTATCTAACCGCAAGAGCAACAGTAAAGTATTTATAACTGTGTCTTTTCATATTCCCTGTATTCATATATAATCTTGTATCTCTTTGCTTTAATCAACTTACTTTGCCCTCACATACTAGCGCAAGGTGGTTCACAACTCTTTATTAACGCTTCCGCTACTACACCAACTCTACCCAGAGTTCACCCCTGCAAAGATCCTAAGGGCTTTTTCAGCCCAACAACACTCATAGCTTTCGGATACAACACGACGGACATTCTGATTAATACATGTGTAGATAACGAGGGCCTAAGTTGAGACATAGCCTATGCCTAGCCTAGCTACTTAGAACTTCCGACGCAAAATTGGTAGTAGTTCACCCCATCCCAACTTGAAACATCAGTTTGGCCCAAATCGCTTGGACAGACTGAAACGATCGCCTGTGCAATGGTCGTGCGGGCTTAGCAATGAGAAGTGCGACGCCACACATCAGGAAAATGTCTCAATTTTGGCGGGAACCAATCAAAGGTGTTCGATTTGCACGTCCGCAACGTTTGAAACGGTACAACCGTAATCTCCCGGATAGTAGACCCTAGGGTCTTGTGTAAAATTCATAAAAAAATAGGGGGGGGTCTTGTCAACGGCACAAGATTGTTTAGTACCCGGGTCTTATTAAATTGATATGATTTTTAAAGGTGTAATCGAGTGCCTCATTGATGAGGATGCTTGACATTTTTTCCCCTGTTGTTTGGGCCGCACATGTGTGCGACTTCTGCGATGTAGCCATATCACACAAAGGAATCAGCTTGTGGCCTTCTCATTGGCCGAAATCGCACGTTACCACATTCCAGCATTGAGATTCGCTTTGTGGCTCGTCAGCGTGCCATCCCACCTCGACACCCTGACACATGCACGGCTCGAGCGCAGGGGCTGCACGATGGCCCGTGCAGCAACCCCCACTGTTCAACGGGAGGCACGTCAATCCTTTCACCCATCACAATCCTTCTCCTCCGCCTGTTTCTTCATCCACGCACGAAACTGATTTCTGCTCGGCAGAGTGGTGCGCTTAGGGCCCGTAGCTCTAGGATGGTCGTCTTAAGATGGCTGGAGGAAGTACTTCGAGCAGTAGCTAGAGGTGTAAGCTATCATTCACGATGGTGACGTCTCCAGATTTAGGGATGTCGCACGCAAGGCGCCCTCGTCCCACTAACGTTAATCGAGCATCGCAAGTACGAGTTTCACCCCGGCCTGTTTTGCCAACAACTTCACCTTCCTCCAGCGATCCTAGCGACAGTTCCCATGGCATTCGCCGACCGCCGCTTCCTAGAGTCGTGATCCCTACTTTTCCGGAGTCTAGTCACCCGCAAGGCATGAAACGAAGGATTCTAGATGCTGCGCCTCCTTCCCCTCGTCATAGGATGACGAAACGCTCTCGTAACGCGTTCACCGCCAAGGAGAAATTGCACTGGCTGGCCATGTTGGAGTCACAGCCTGACCTCAGCATCCGTGGCTTGGCGAAGCTCGCCAAGGTGCAGCCCAAGCAAATCCGCGAGTGGAGGCGACTCAAGGAGCGTCTCGAGGTCGCCGCTGGTTGTCGCCGACGTCTTAACGGTGGAGGGCGTAGGGCGAAGTGGCCCCTGATGGAGAAAGCGGTTTACCGCCAATTCTTGGCGCACCGTGCCGAAGGATTGGCGGTGTCGGTGAGCCTTCTCCGCAAATGGGCAACTCAGTACATGAAGCACCGTCAGCCTACCGCCGATTTTCGCGCATCGGCACGTTGGACCTTTCGCTACCGCGTGCGGTGGTCATTAGCGCAACGCGTGAAGACAAAGATGGGGCAAAAACTAGCCGCCGGTGAGCAAGTTGCATGTCACCCCCCCTTGCCGTAACGGTTTACGTAAAATGCTATCTAACACATGTGTCGTTGTGTGTTTAACAGATTGCAAGGGAAAGGTGGAGTCCTTCTGGGAATTCGTCCGCCAGATGCGCATGGTTCATCGCTTTCCCCTCAACCTCATCGTGAACGCTGACCAGACCCCGCTCTGGTTGGAGATGCCGGCAGAACGCACCCTCGAAATGAAAGGCGCCCGCACGGTGCATGTCAGGACGGCGGGGTACGAGAAGGAGCGTGTCACTGTCATGTTGGCAGTGACGGCTGACGGCCTGAAGCTTCCCCCGTATGTCATCTTCAAGCGGAAGACGGTGCCACGAATCGTGGTGCCACCAGGTGAGCCCGATGTGTTTCTGTCGTTGATTCCTTCTGTTCCTCTTGTTTCTCCATTACTGATTTCCAGTTGTGGCGTGTGCAGGTATCGTCATCCGCGCCCAAGAGAAGGGTTGGATGGACGAGCGCCTTGTCCAGGATTGGACAACACAGGTGCTCGTCCCCTTCTTGAAGCCGTTGCGGGACGAGGGCGGGCGGCGCAAGCAAGCGCTCCTTGTCTTCGACTCGTACAAGGGGCACCTGACGGAATCTGTGGGGCAAACTCTGAAGATGTTTAAGGTGACGCGTGCCGTCATCCCTGGCGGTTGCACCCCCCTGGTGCAACCGCTTGACGTCTCCATCAACCGCAGTTTCAAGTGCGGTGTTCGCCACCGCTACAGCACGTGGTTTGAGGAGGTCGGGATCGGCCAAACGACACGTGTAGGTGAGTCGTGGTCGATTTGTGAGCTTTAAGATGACTAGTCAGCATTAACTCCACTGCCTTTACATCTCTGCTGTGCATTCTTCTTGTGAACTCTAGGGAACTTGAAGAAGCCCCCCCCTGAAGTGATCCTGAAGTGGATCGTCGAGTCATGGGCTGATGTGCCAGAGGAGCTGGTGAAGAAAGCTTTCCTCACCTGCGGCATCTCCAGTGCCGAAGACGGGAGCGAGGATCATCTGATCCTGGCTCACCTGCGGGACAAGGCGGAAGTGGAGGTGCAGGAGGATGTGCTGGACGAGGGGGAGGACGGGGTGAACCCCAACCCGTTCTACGAAGACCCCTCGCACGCCCCTGAGCCCGCCGCTACCAAGGACGATGAGGCAGAGGACGAGGAGGAAGGGCTTGCAGGGGAGGAGGATGTGGTGGATGCTGCTGCCGAGGAAGGGGATGTGATGGCTCCGGAGGAGGAGGGGGATGAGGCAGATGCAGAGATGGGAGGTGCGGACGAGTGGAGTGAGGATGGAGACGACTGGTGGGCAGCAGACCGCTATGAGGGAGAGGAAGTGGAGGAGTGGGTTGCAGGCGAGGATGAGTGACTATTTTTATGTTGTTCTCACCCCTTGTTGCCCCCTAAATCTCTGAAATGCAAACCGTGAATAGGTTGCATTGGTGTCAAGCTTTTCTTGCTAGTGAAGCACTTGAAAAGACATCTTATTTCCATTATAAACTAGTGACAACCATGAAGGGGGTCTAGTAATGTTTACCCCTCTAGGGGGGGGTATAGTGAAAACCTGCCAAAATAAAAGACCCACCCCCGTAAAACAGACCCGGGGGTCTTGTATTCCGGGGGGTCTATTATCCGGGAGCTTACGGAAACTTCTCAGTCCGTTTAAACTTTGTTTCGCCCGGCAAACTCGTCCCTGCGCCCTTTCAAGTTGGGTTTGGGTTCACTATTTTGCATCTCGGTTTTAATACCTTCATCAGTAAGGGGAACATGAGGGCAGCGCAAAGAGGGCGCCCTAAGGGCGTTGTATGAGGTGCTAAACAGGCAAGAACAAACACACTGCACCCAGCTGCCAGAGAATATGCTTACTTTAGTTCAGACTAGCAAGATACCGGTATGATACTAGGATTTAACACAATACATTGGTAACAAGCTTTGAAGCGAGATACGTAATAGAAGCCCATCCCACTTCACCATACATGAAGTCACTTCCACCATCGACATGGCCATGACTGGTCCTTCTTGGTCTCCTACAAATGGACCCATGCCTGCATGGCACATGCTTTATTCAGATACCTCAGAATGGGTATAAAAATGCAACCAAGCCCATCTTGCCAGATACTCATGATGATGCACGTTTGTGTGCATTCACTGGCCCCCCCCAGCCGCCCTCCCTCAATCCCGCAGTGCTTCATCCAGCACCCACAGCCGCTGCAGCATCATCTCATTCCACACATCGGGCACGCCGGGCAGACAAAAATGTCCGCAGTCCCTCACCCCATTGGGCAGGAGCGCCCATCTGCCCGGATGCCCGTCGCTTCTGAACAGGGTCGGCCGAGCCTGATCCAGCAGCACCACCTTAGCCCCTTGCGTTCTCCCCTCCGCCCTCTCCTTCCCATGCATTCCCGCTACAAGCTTCCTCATCACCCCATTATAAGGCTCCATCGTCATGTAGTTCCTGATAAACCGGTCATTAAGGAACCCCGTGGCGTTCATCGGAGCAGTGTGCGGGCACTCGCTCTTAAAGCCCTGGCCCGTGAAATGGGTTGCCGAATTAGTGGGAATAACGAGCACCTTGCCTCGCATGCGGTCGCTCTTAAAGACCTTCAGTGTCATCTCCCAGGCCTTCTGAAACCCCTCTGCGACGGACAGCTTCTGGTGGGGCGGCGCAAAGCGGAAGCCCGAGCCGTGGATCTTCTGCTCGGTCCACCAGTGACCTGTGGACACGTGGCGGAGATGGGAGACAGGAGGACGAAGTACAGATTGGCAAGGGTCAAATCTCCACACAACATCACACAATGATCAGCAAACAGCATACAGAAGTGGTAGTATGAGGGATTTTCCAGAAGTATTAGACAATGAACGTGATGAGGTTCATATATCATAGGCATAAACTGATTCTTGTTCCTCACCTGTGTTTATAACGAAGATATCGTGTTGATCCAGTCGCCTCATCCATCGCTCGTCCGGCTTGTTTAAGTCCATTACGCCGCCTCCCTTGGGCTTGCTGGGATCGTCCAGCGTCAACTGCACCATGAAATTCGTGCGATAGAACGCGAGGGTGAAGTTACACGACGGCCACACGAACCCGCGTTCCAGCCCGTACGACATGTTGATCCCCGCCAGATCCTCCGGCATCCCGTAGAATCCGTACATGAGACACGCGAGCGACTCGAACGTGTTGCGCGTGACGGAGTCGCCTATGAATGCGATGCTCTTTCCCGCGACGAGGCTGCAGAGGGTGCGCTTCGTCAGCGTGGGAAGCGGGCAGCCCGGTGTCGTCCATCGGACGCGCTCAAACACGCGGTCCGGCCGGCCATTTTTCACGCAGTTTTGATTCGGGTAGATGAATGGACACGTGGCGTCGTACAGCGGCCATGTGGGATCCACCTGCCACGAGCCGCGTTCCATGGAGCAGCTCGTGCGCTCCTTGGGATTGCCGGTGCTACCACCCGCGCCCCCCTGCGACGACCGCTCCAACACCCGCTTCTTCGCGACGGGCGAGACGTCGGTAACCAGATTGTCGTCCAACGGAAGAAGAGCGGGTCCCGTGACGCCCTCCGGCGAAGCGCGTGAGAGCATGACGTCGTCGGCGGCATCCGAGCCATCTACGGCCATACCGTCATCGATGTAAAGCTCGACGCGCCCGACGGCGCTTGGGAGTGGCGGCCGTTGAATCGGCTGCGGCTCGAACACCGCCTGCTCGACCCGCTCGATATTCTTGACCAATCCCGTGATGCCAGCTAGACGCCGCCTCGCGACGTGGTGATGAGAGGAGCCGGAGAGGGTTTCTGTGCGGTCTTGAGTGGATTCGCTGGTGTGCGATGCGGTGAAGGACTCGAGGAAGGAGGTGAGGGAGAAGGGTGTGGATGATGCTTCGGTGAATCTCACGAGCGAAATGACGAGCGCTAGTAGGAGTACTTGTGATGTTAGTACGGCATCGGAACGATGAGAAGCGTGCGCCATTTGTGCGAATTGAAGTAGCTTATCGTAACGCCACTTGAACAGAACTTCTATCCGTGGAAGAGGTATCCTCTCTTCACATTCGGCTACCAGTGACCTCGGGGAACCGACACGTTAATGCTTATCATATAATTATGGAACGGCGTGTTTGGAGCCAGACGCACACTAGCGACCTAATTATTGCGCTGCTTGCTGCCAGTTCTGAAAGGAGAACCTGCAATCGGTCCGCAAGATTATTTGAATGAACAATACACGATGTCTTTCAAATCTATGGTGGTTTGCCGACATTGCTTATCATGGTCAGCGGGTTGGGTTGGGGTAATTTTCAGCCCACACTCACTACTATGGCGTGGTGCTATGGTATGGTATGGTATAGTTGGTGTGGGGTGGGGCCAGTTTCCCCCACGCGACAGCTCGATGTGCACATGCGACTCGCAGATCGTGGAACTGGCTGGCTGTACATGCTTGGTTTGGGACATTGGCCAATGGAAGCGCGCCACGGGATCGACATCGAGGTCGAAATAGCTGCGCTCTGATTCGCATGGTTGTGTGGGCGCTGCGCTGGTTCGGCGTGGAGAAGCGAAGCGAGGGTGGGCGAAGACCAACAGGTGTAACAAGAGGGCAGAGTGTGGCTGCGACAGGTAGTGGGTGGTTGGTGGTTGGTAGATGGATTGTTGGTGCGGTGGTGGTGGGATGCGGTGGGGTACGATAACTTAAACTGACCATAGAGAGCATGAACTCGCCATAGAACTATGACAGTAGGTGCTCAATTTAATCTTCTCAGAGTAAATGGTAGATTCACTGCTGTATATATCTAACTGCAGTCAGAGGTCAAGCACCTACTTCTTGCAAAGATTCGACTGGCTGTATATATACATCATTGCACACAGTACACGTACCGTACATGCTCTATTCCCTTGATTTCAGCCATAGCTGGCCCAACAACATCTCGTTCCAAGCATCAGGCACACCAGGCAAGCAATAGTGCCCGCAATCCACCGTACTCGATCCTGTATACACCCCCGGGTGCCCATCCTGCCGCCACACAGACGCCGCATGAATATCCAAAACCATCGCATCCGCCCCCACCCAACCCCTCCTCCCCCTCGCCTTCCTGTACTCCTCCACTGCACCCCTCACCACCGCATTGAACCCATCCATGTGCGAACCCGGGCTTTTAACAATCTGATTTCCATCAAGAGAGGGTTTAAGCAGGGTAGTGTACGAGCACTGGTTAGAGGAAGGTGACTCCTTGTGGCCAGGCACGCTGGTGGTAACCACCACAAGCTTGTTACTGGATTCAGCAGAGGAGAATACAGAGAGTGCGGTGTTAAGGGCGGTGCGATAGGCAGAGAGGAGGGAGGTGGGGGAGGCGAAGGAGGAGTAGGGAGGAGAGAAGGGGATGCCTCCTAGCCAGAGGCGCTGCGGTGACCACCAGTGGGCTGTGAGATACGTGGGGAGGGAGAGAGAAAGAGACACGAGGAGAGAGAGATACGAAGAGAGAGGGACATGGGGAGAGAAACACGGGGACATGGGGAGATGGGTGGGAAAAGGGAATGAGATGGGCTGGAACATAAAGAGAAGGGTATGCCTCCTAACCAGAGGCGCTGGGGGAACCACCAGAGGCGCTGGAGGAACCACCAGTGGGCTGTAGAAAATGTGGGAAGGATAGAGACATGGGAAGACACACAGAAAGAGAAAAAGGGAGAGACACGGAGAGAGAGATGGAGAGAGACGGGGAGAGGTTATGACACGGGCGGCCACCAGTGGGTTGTGGGAAAAGTGGAGAGGGAGACATGGGAGAGAAACGGGGAGCAGGATGGGGGGCGAAATGGGGAGAAAGACCGGGAGAGGCATGTGGAGGGAGAGGCATGTGGAGGGAGAGGCATGTGGAGGGAGAGGCATGTGGAGGGAGAGGCATGTGGAGGGAGAGGCATGTGGTGGGAGAGGCATGTGGTGGGAGAGGCATGTGGAGGGAGACGAGGGATGGAAGCATCACGGGCAGGAACATGGTGAGACCGTGGGCGGAAAAAACACAGAAAAAATTCCACATTGTTTAGATTGTCACGTTCCTGAGTAGTCCAGCGCAGTTCAGAAGAAGCTAGCAAGTGGTTTGCAGGTGCCCCTGTCCCTGACAGGGTCTCTGGTTGGCAGAGTGTTTGTCAGGCTACCTGTGTTGATCACGAACACGTCATGCTCTGCCACGTGGCGGCCCCAGTGCATGTCCACGTGGCTCAGGTCCAGCTGGCCGCCCTTGCTGTGCTCGCCTGGCACTGTCAGCGACAGGTTGGCGAGATAGGCGCTCCTGAAGTTGGGAGGTACGAATGGGGGGAGGAAGGGGGAGGAAGGGGGAGGTAGGGAGGAATAGTATGAGCTGATTTTGGAGTTGACTCACCAGTACAAGCCTCACCAGTACAAGCCTCACCCGTACAAGCCTCACCAGTAGAAGGCGATAGTGGTGTTGCAGGCGGGCCAGCGCAGCACCCGCTCCTGCTGCCCCACGCTCACAGGCTCTGGGGAGCCATGGAACCGGTGTAGCAGGCAGATGAGCGACTCGAACATGTTCTCCGTTAACGAATCGCCCACAAACGCGACGCTCCTGTTCGCCACTAACGAGCACAAAGTGTTCCCGTTGAGCTTCGGCGCGGGGCACCGAGGTTGCTTATAACGAAGCCGCTGGTATTGAGTATCCGGCCTGCCGTTTTCCATACACTGATTCCCCGTGTGCCAAATGAGAGGGCAGTCTCCCGCCTTATAAAGAGGCCATTCTGAATCATCCTCCCAGAACCCCTCGTTAGTGTCACATGGCGATTCCACAACCAATCCATCCAACCCCACTTTGACCTCCGTTAGCAAAGGGCCTTGAGTAGTATCCGTGAGCACAGAAGACGCTAATAACGGGGATGAGGCCTCTTTACCGGATCCCATGCCATCCGCGACATAGAGTTCGGCTCTCCCCACGACATTCGCATGCTCTATCGGGTTGTCGCCTGCAGTCGCACGCGAATCCTGCTGCGACGCTGCGACAGTCGGATTCGGCTCTGCTTTCGCGAGGGACCCGGGAATGCGCGGGAATTCGCCAAGCTTCCGCCGAGTTGGTGGCTCGAAAACAGACTCCGCCTGTGCGACGGATCGCGAATGGCGACCTGCTGTGAAACTTTCGTTGGAAAGGAGCCGTCGTTCAATCGGTACGGGCGAGGAAACTGGTCGTGCAAGCGACGATCGTTGCGCTGCAGTTTGTTGCGAGAATAGTAACAAACGAGTTCGGTAATGCTTGAAGGAGAGGAGATTGCGTGATTTACGGCCTGTGCTAGATGGACGGTGGAGATTTGACGAGGAGATTGCGACGAGATGGGTAAGCAGTAGTAACGCGAGGAGGAGAGAAGAGCGACCCATTCTGCTGCTTAAACGGGGTAGCTTAGTAACGAGAACAAAAAAGGTCCGCTCCAATTGTTCACCACACTATACAACTCCGTACCAACTCTGAAACATAAGGCACAGGCTTGTTCCACATCATCCCGCAACCTCGCACCGCTTCAGGCGGTTTGGAAGCTTCATTCCACACGCCCCTAGCGCGTCGTCGAGTCATACACTGGGAAACTCAGCTGTGTGACCGCTACTTGCGCGGAGATAAGCGGTTCATATGTCTAGTGGTGATCACAAAGCGACTCGTGTACTAAGGCAGCAGGCGGGGAGGATGCATACTGTTACGGGTGCAATGAATCGAGGTAGCGAGAATTGCACTAGGGTGTCAAACGAGTACAAAATGTGAGCGAAGGCATGAGCGAACATTTATACGCGAAACATGCAAAACAGTAACGCGGTGCGTGCGAGCTGGCTAGTGCTACGCTGGAGCGAGGCTCGGGCTAGTCCCGAAGCGTAGGCCGATGCGGCCATGCCAGCAGTGCGAGGTTTGGCAAAACAGTGCGCGCGAAGTCGGCGAAGTTCCGTTAGCAGTAACGGGCGAACAATCGGCTGTTTTGCTGTACGCGATGTAGTCGGCTCCGTAAGGAATGCCGAGAAAATTCCTTACACTACCCCCCCCCTTAAGAAGCCCCCTCCGCTACGCGAGTGCGTGTATATCGCGGAATCCCCGGCTCCTCAGGTACACTTGCAGGGCAGGGTGATTTTCGATGTTGCTCAGGGGCACCCAGCTATCTTCAGTTGGCGTGCGGTCTTTCCAGCGAACGAGGAATTCAATCCTCCTGATTCCCGTGGGGTGGCGGATCCGATGGCTCAGAATTTTTTCGGGCTCGATGATCGGCTCTGATGCAGGGCGAGTCATTGATTGTGGCCGGTGACGCGGCAGTTGACTTGTGGTCGGGATGTATGGGCGAAGTAGGCTGACGTGGAACGAAGGGCTAATGTACCAGTCGGTTGGCAACAGTAGGTGTGCAGTGACGGGTGTGATCATGTGACTGATTTGGAATGGTCCACAGTAGCGCGGTCGTAATTTCGGTACGTCGGGCAGTCGCAGATTTTGCGTGTCGAGCAGCATGTAATCTCCAAATTGGTACGTGACAGGACGGCGGTGGCGATCAGCGTTGCGCTTAGCGATGACGTTGGCTTTTTTTATTGCTTCGGCGGCTCTGGTACGGGCAGCTTGCAGGATTTCGGCGAATTGTTGTGCACGTGGCGTTGGGTTGTCCGGACTCGGCGTCATGGGCACTGTGGGGTTTTGCCCATAGTTCAGGTAGAACGGGGACTGCTGCGTCGTGGCTGGTGTGGCGTTGTTGTACGCGAACTCGATCAGCGGCAGCTGCTGCTCCCAGGTCGTGGGGTCGTCGCACGTGGCACGAATCAACTGCTCCATCGTCTGATTCGTCCGCTCCGTTTGGCCGTCGGTCTCGGGGTGGTACGACGAACTGAACTGTAGCCTGGTCCCGAACTGCTCCCAGAGGTTCTTCCAGAAGTTGCTGGTAAACTTCGTGTCCCTGTCGCTGATGATTGCTGCTGGTATCCCGTGCAGGCGAACAACGGCTGCGATGAACAGGCGCGCGGTCTCCTCGGCTGAGATCGACTTTTTGCACGCAACGAAGTGTGCCATCTTCGTCAGCCTATCCACGACGACCATCACTGCGTCGTTACCCCCAGGGTTCGAAGGTAACCCTGTGACGAAGTCCATGGTTACTTGCTGCCAGGCGCGTTCGGGCGGTGGGATCGGCTGCAATTGACCCGCCTTCCGCTTCCTTGAACTCTTCATCACCTGACACGTCGGGCACGAGCCCACGTGCTGCTGTACGTCGGTCAACAGCTCCGGCCAGTAATAATACCGCTGCAGTTGCTGTCGCGTTTTTTCGACCCCGAAATGTCCCGAGGTAATCCCGTCGTGTGCCTCCTGCAGTAGCAGCTCCCTCAGTAGTGAGTACGCGGGTACCCAAATTCGGTTGGTGCCTGTTTTTACGTAATAGACTCCTTTTGCTTCTGCCAGTTGCTGTGAATTTCCGGTCGTGAAAAATGGGTCGGTGCGGTATCCGTGGGTGAATAGGCCAGTTAAAAGCGGGTTGGTCTGGGCGAGTAGGATGGCGTGGAGTTGGGCGGTGGGGCGGGTGAGAGCGTCGGCGATGTTGGATGCTCATTTTTTGTACGTGACGGTGTAGTGAAAATTGGACTCGAGATAGTCCAACCAGCGAATCTGTCGTGGGTTGAGATTCGGTTGGGCGCGAAGGTACTGTAGCGAGCGGTGGTCTGTCCGTACTGTCACGTCGGCGCCAGTCAGGTAACACCGCCAAACTTTGAACGCGTGCACGATCGCTAGCATCTCGCGGTCGTGTATCGGGTAGTTACGTTCGGGCGGGTGCAGTTTGCGGGACTCGTACGCGATTGGCTGGAGGCCGTTCCCGAAGTCCTGCAACAGTACTGCTCCCACAGCGATGTCACTTGCGTCGGTGACGAGCTCGAACGGACGGTGGGGATCTGCAATGTGAAGGACGGGCGGGGAGCACAAAATATTTTTGAGGGCCGAGAAGGCAGCTTGCTCTTTCTCCCCCCACGTGTACTCAACCCCCTTCCTCAGCAGGTCGGTCAACGGGGCAGTCAACTTCGCCATGTCGGGGACGAACCGGCGCACGTAGTTGACGAACCCCAGGAAACTCTGCAACTCGGTCAAGTTGGTCGGCGCGTGCCAAGCCTGAATCGTCGCAATTTTCTTCGGGTCTATTTCCACTCCTTCAGCTGAAATAACATGTCCCAAAAACTCCAGGCGGTCCTGTAAAAATTCACACTTAGATGCTTTGGTCAGTAGGCGGTTCTCACTGAGGATTTTAAAAACTGCTCCGATGTCGTGTAAGTGCTGTGCTCTGTCCGGGCTGTAAATCAGTATGTCGTCCAGATAAACGATGACGCACTTATCTAAAAGCGGGCGGAATGCTTCGTTCATGGTCATTTGGAAGGTGGCGGGGGCGTTGGTCAATCCGAATGGCATGACGGTGTATTCGAAGGATCCGTAGCGTGTTCGGAATACGGTTTTAGGGCAGTCGGGTGGATTAACGCGGATTTGGTGGTAGCCTCCCCGGAGGTCAATTTTCGAGAAAACCCGGGCTGTGCGCAGTTGGTCGATCAGTTCGTCGGCTCGTGGGATGGGGTAACGGGATTTAATGGTAACCCTGTTCAGTGCCCTGTAGTCGATACACATGCGAAACCCCCCGTCTTTTTTCGGTGTGAACAGTATGGGTGCGGCGAAGGGCGACGAACTAGGGCGAATGAATTCCTTCTCGAGCAGGTAATCGAGCTGCTTCCTTAGTTCGTCTAGTTCGGGTTGGGTCAGTCGGAACTGTCGCTGTACTGTTGGCTGTGCCCCCGGTTCCAGTTCTATCCTGTGATCGTGCGGTCGCTGAGGTGGCAGTCCCGTCGGCAGGTCGTCCGGGAAAATGTCACTGTACTGTTTTAACAGTGCCGCCAGGTCACTCGGTACGTCGGTCAGCAGTTTCTGTAAATCGCCCCCCTTGTCTGCTGCCTCGGCTTCCCGAATGTCAACCGCGTACACGTCAGCTCCGGCCGCTACAGCGCGTTTCATCGTGATCGCATTGACACGCACCGACGAAGACTCAGGCGAGCCCCAGCGAGGTAAGGCGATGTTGTTACCGTTTACTCGCACGGTGCAGTCACCCGTCGTCCAGTCAATTCGCGGATTGTGTCGTCGCAGCCAATCACGCCCGAGTAAAATGTCGGTTCCGTCGAGGGACGTTGCGAGCATTTCCTGACTAAACGTGAAGTTACCCCCGCATCGAATCCGGACTCGGTCTACGCGTTCCCGTATTGCCAGCGGCGTGCCGTCTACCAGTCGTGCGTCGATCTCAGGTAAGCATCTGTCCAGTGGCAGTCGCAGTTTTCGTGCTGTAGCAGTGTTAATGAGGCTGTGGCTGGCTCCCGCGTCTACGAAGATTTTAACTAAGTCCGTCCCAATTTTCCCACTGAGCAGTATAGGGCTGTCTACCGTGGTACCCTCCTTATTCGGCCGGGTGTGGTCGATTGCGTGAACCGGCACAATCACTCGGTGAGGGTCGGTTGGGTCGGGCGAGCGGCGTGACCTGTCAGTAGAGGGCCCGTCTGCTACTGACTTCCAGCGTTTCCCTGCTGCTTGGTCTGTGTCTGCTGCTCAGCTTCCCCCTTTCCCTTAGCGTTTTCCGGGCATTCGCTCTTGCGATGTCCCGGCCGATTGCACGCAAAGCAGCGCCCTTTGAACGGTGCGGCAGCGGCATTTGCGGCGACGGCGCGTATCGTGGCGCTTTCGTTCGTCCCACGAGGCCGATGTCCCCAGTTGTTGTTTCCGTAGGACCCCGGTCTCGGTCGGCGAAAAAAGTCGAGCTTCTCCGCCATAGCGAGAATTTCCTGAAATTCGGTGACGCCGCGAAGTTGGATTTCCTGAGCGATGTCCTGCTTCAGGCCGCCGATGTAGCGGTCGATGCGTTCGCTCTCATGCATGTAGCCCACCTGCTCGCATAGCGCCAGAAATCCGCTCGTGTAATCCTGGACGGAACCGAGTTGGCGCCAAGTGCGGAGCTTCTGTCGCGCCGAGATCGAGGCCGCGATTGGCTCAAATCGAGCGCGCAGACCTGCGCACCACGCGTCCCACGTGCGATATTGGGGCACCTCCACGAAATACGACGGCGCCCAGGGTCCGGTTTGTCCTTCCCGTGTCGGTAGTGTCGCGTAGTCGGTCGGCTTCGTGACGATGACGCGCCACCAGTCCATGGCGGGTCCTCGCAGCAACGACACGGCGTATCGAATCTTCGCCGAGTCCTCCGAGACGTAGTTGGCGTCGAAGAAAACATTCATTGTGAACAACCACGCCTGAACGGTAGGACCACCCCGTTGACTCGGGTCAAAGCATGGCGGGCGCTGTGGCTTCAGCGGCATCGGTGACGGCAGTCCCGAATCGTGGGTTGGTGCCGAAATCGTGACGCGAGGCTGACTTGGGGCCGCAGGCGTCGCTCTGGGGTGTGTCGTGCCGTGGTCGTCGTCTCCGTCGGGGCGGACGACGCCATCACTGGCCGCGCTCGCGGGTTGCCCCACACTCCCGTGTTGTGATGTTGAGGGTGCGGGTTGAATCGGAGTGCCAGGTGCTTGAGATTGTGCTCTCAGGAGGTCATTTTGCAGTGATGAGCGTTCTGCCGTCAATGCCGCGATTTCCTCGGAGCTTTCGTGCAGTTGTCGCAGCAGATCGTTCAAACGCTCCTGCGTGAGAGTGGTGACGTCGATGTTTTCGGCCATGACGAAGGGCGTCGGCTCGTCTTAGTCTAGGCGCAGTCGTGGCTGCACGCGTTTACGAGAGAACGCGAGGACAGCGGCTCCTAGGGGCTAAGGTGCGTGAGTCCCTTCGAGTGAAAAATCAAAAGTTGATTTCCTGGTGTGCGGAGATGCGCGGTCCGAAAGGAAAGGGGCTCTGATAACAAGTGTTACGGGTGCAATGAATCGAGGTAGCGAGAATTGCACTAGGGTGTCAAACGAGTACAAAATGTGAGCGAAGGCATGAGCGAACATTTATACGCGAAACATGCAAAACGGTAACGCGGTGCGTGCGAGCTGGCTAGTGCTACGCTGGAGCGAGGCTCGGGCTAGTCCCGAAGCGTAGGCCGATGCGGCCATGCCAGCAGTGCGAGGTTTGGCAAAACAGTGCGCGCGAAGTCGGCGAAGTTCCGTTAGCAGTAACGGGCGAACAATCGGCTGTTTTGCTGTACGCGATGTAGTCGGCTCCGTAAGGAATGCCGAGAAAATTCCTTACACATACTCTCTTGTTGAACCTCGACAAGAGTCGCATCGTTTCAGTACATGATTTACAGTATACGGTGTATAAGATTTCATTTCCCAGAAGTACGATGGGGGAATTGCTGAAAGTTTGCACCCACCTGGGCAGGTGCCTGTCTACAGTCCACATATCTTCCTCACTCTTTGTTCTTACGTAGAAGTGTAGATTCGCGGGATGCTTCTAGTGAACCCATCCAGAATCTTGGACATATTCCGTTTCGTCAGCCCCCCAAGCCTTTGCGAAAAAATGTAACCCTTCGTGAAAGCGCTCGTCTGAATTCGGATACAGCCTAGCACCACCACACACCTGCTGCTCTGGACCAGAGCAATCCCCCTCCCCATACCATGTCGCTTCGCGGCGCGTGGTGTGGTTGCCGTCATTCAACCGACTAGCGCCGCCGTCTTCAAGCAGTTGCCGTGGTACAGTACCATACCTCACCTTCCTCGTTGGAAAGCGCGCCTTCCTTGCTGTCCCGTCCATGGATGTCATAATAATCTCACTTACCATTTTCGATGCTCTTACCCGTCTCGCTTTCGTGAATCGGCGAGGATTGATTGAACAGCGCGGCAGCGGAAGGGGCGCTAGCCGGGTGGATTGCGAATCGCGCTCCCCTTGCGCTGGCGAATATTAGCGAGTGCGTGACATCCGCGCGTGTTACCGACGGTTAACCCCAGCCGCTGCGGCGCTCTGGCTAGCCGCCGTTGTGCCCAATGGTTTCCCAGTAGATTAAGGGAGATTCGGTGTTAGGAAGCGCGTCAGGCGCTCGTCGTAGCGCGTGTGTAACATCTTCCGCGGCCCCGCTTGCCTTTCACGTCAGCAACTTCTCTTTACGCCGCCTCGAGAACGCTCCGTATAAGCACCTCGTCGCACACGAACTGTAGCGAAGAAGCGAATCATAATCGAGTAACCATGGACCCTAAATATAGCGAACGTCGCGACTCCATGTTCCGCGTGTCGCCGAAACCGCCAGCCGACCAATGCCAATCTCAAGCAACAGTTACATCGTCATCGCAGCTATTCGTCAAGGGTTCGCCGAAGTCGTTAGGCCGAACCGCTGTCGCAAGCTGCGTATCCCTTCCCCGTCTCTTCGCTCTTCTCGTCCTTCTAGGGTGCGCCGGATTGTGGCCGGCTTTTCTCCGCACCGCCGCGAATCACGCCGACGATAGTGGCGCTAACAGCGGGGATACCGGCTCAGAGTCGTCGGATAGTCTAGGCACGCCAAGCGGCTTCTTCAGCGTGTTTGGCGGACCGTCCGCGATTCGCGGCGGGTTCTCCGCACGGCAGCTGATGGAGATGACGTCAGAAGGCGTTTTAAGGGGCGGAGGGCGCCGCAAGGGGGGGAACATGCTGACGTTGCGCGATGACGAGACTACAGGGGAAGGGCAAACGGAGAACAGGGAAGGGGGAAGGCAAGAGGGGGAGGGGGGAAGAGAGGAGGGAACGGAAGAATCAGCGAGGGGGAAGGGGGAAGCGGAAGGGGAGCATGCGGAAGAGGCGGAGGAGCGCGCGAACCGCGCTAGCCCGTCTATGACGCCAGGCACAGCGCTCCACACGGTAGTCCGCGCGCGGGGGCGCGGGGCGGGCGAGGGTGTTGCGGCGCCTGGAGCGCTGCGCGCTGCCTCGGGGGGCGAGGGGGAGGCGCGCGGAGCGGAGGGCGCGGGGGAGATGCGCGGAACGGAAGGCGCGGGAAGAGGGGTGGGGTTGGGGGATGTGCTGGGAGAGGGAGGAGAAAGAGGAGGAGAGAGAGGCACAGAGAGCAAGGGGGGAAGCGTGGAGGGAAGAAACGAGGGGGGTGAGGGTAGAGAAATGCGAATAGGGGACAGAGAAAGGGGGGAACGGGGGGAAGGGGAAGGAAGCGGGGAGGGAGGGGAGAAAAGAGAGGGAGGGGTGGGAGGAAAGGAGGGGGGAAGAGAGGGAAGGGAGGGAGGGGAGTGGGGATGGCGATGGGTGGACGAAAAGGACGCATCCTGGCCGCTCTACTCCGCTGCATCCTGTCCGTTCATCTTCCCTGGGCAGAACTGCCGATCCAACGGCCGCAACAACACGAGGTTCGAGCGATACGCGTGGCGACAGGGGGTGGAGCGGAGTGGGGAAGGCCGGGAGGGCTGGGGGGGAGTGGAGGAAGGGGAGGAGGCGGAGGGGAAGGAGCGATCGTGGTGTGATGCGTTGCAGGGCGTGCGGCATGGGAGCGGGGTTGGATCTGCCACACCCGTGACACCCAATGGGATGATGACACGTGTGGCGTATATAGGGGACAGCATGATGCGCAACATGTTTGAGAGCATGGCGTGCATGCTGCATGCGCACCCCCGCTGCGGCGGCAATCCTGAGGTGGTGCGCGCGAATGTGGTGGAGCGGATCATCCGATGGGACACCTGCAACGTTACCCTTGCTAATCTCAGGTAAATCCACTGGTGTGCCACACATGAGCCGGCAATCCCGAGGTGGTGCGGGCGAACGTGGTGGAGCGAATCATCCGATGGGACAAATGCAACGTTACCCTAAGGTAGTTCAAGGGCGCCACTCCGTATCCCTCACCGCTTCACACCCCCCCATACATCGTTCCTCTCTTCCATTTGCCTCCCGCCCCCTTCACACCCCCCCATCGTACCGCACCGCACACTTATTGGCTCAGACCCAACGGACGAGTTCAAGGGCGCCACTCTGTACCTCTCTCGCCCTGCTTCACACCCCCCCATACCGAACACCACCGCTCCCTCCCCCATCCCCCCCCCTCAGGAGCAACTTCCTCATAGAGGTCGTTTTCAACAGCCCCACGGATGAGTTCAAGGGCGCCCCTTCACTGCTCACTAGCTTGACGCACTCCCCCATACCGCGCATCACTCCTCCCTACCCCTCCCTACCCCTCCCTGCCTCTCCCTGCCCCTCCACTCGCCCCTCCTCAGGAGCAACTTCCTCACGGAGATCTCATTCAAGGACCCCACGGACGAGTTCAAGGGCGCCACGCTTCACCTCTCCCGCCCTGACAAGCGGTGGAAGCAGCGGATCAAGAACTACGACGTGTTTGTGATCAACTCAGGTGAGGGAGGTGCTGCTAACTGCGGTGTGTATATGTTTACGCATTTACACAGATTCTTCACTTGCTGCTTTTCTCTTCTCACTCGCCTTCCACTCTACCCTCCCCTCACTCCCTCACTCACCCCTCGCCCAACCCCTTTTTCCCCACCCCTCTCCTTAATTCTGCCCTTCCTCTTTCATCAGGCCACTGGTGGACACGTGGCAAGCTTGCAGAGCGCCACGTCAGCTTCTCCCCACCCCACAAATCCCTTAACGTCCTCTCTGCCTTCCGCCGAGCCATCCGCACCACTCTGCACCGCTTTGCATCGCGCCAGATGGCCAACAAAACCGTCATTATTACCACCTCCTCTCCCAACCATTTTTCCCATAAGCCCTCCTCTCCCCATTCTCGAGACCCCACACTCAGCCCCCACTCCTTTCAGAGTACCGCACTGAACTCCCTAGAATTCCCACTTGGCCAAGACTCTGATGCCTCTAGACACTTAGCTAAGCGACGGAGATTGCTTGAGACAAGCGGTGCAAAGAAGCACTCTAAAAGTAAAAAGAGCAAATCCGTTAAGAAACGGGGGCAGTGCGATGCAGTGGAGCCCGTGGGGAGTGAGGAGGAGGCTTATAACGAGTACGAGGAACAGTGGGAGCGAGTAGAGCGGTTGAATGCAGTGGTGAGGGAGGAGGTGCAGGAGTATCAGAGGATTCAGAGGGAGAGAGAAGAGAAGGGGAGGAAGAGAGTAGGAGAGAGTGAGGCCGGGAACAGGAGGAGGAAATTACTGCAAGTGGCGGGCGATGCAGCAGCAGCAGCAGCAGCAGCAGCGGAGGGGATCAGCACAGGGCAAATTGCAGAGCTAAAGAAAGGCCGGCAATCTCGGCTAAAGGCAGAGCGGGAAGTGTTACTGGATGCAGGGCGAAAAGCAATGCTAAAGGCTGGGCGGGAAGTGTTACTGTATGCAGGGCGGGAGGCCATGCTAACTGCAAACAGCTCGTTGCAAATCGTACGCTTTCCGCGACACGGAGACACCACAGCGTGGGCGATACAGCAGCAGGGAAGGTCAAGACAGCAGCGGGACGAGCAAGGGATGTTGCACGAGGCAGGGTTGGGGGAAGGGGAAGGGTTGCGGCACAAGGGACCGCCAGAGGGAGTGAGAGTGAAGAGCGGAAGGCGAGAGGGAGCGAGGGTGGAGAGGAGAAGACGAGAGGAAGCTAGAGTGGAGAGCAGAAGGCCAGAGGGAGCGCGAGTAGTACTGTTAGAAGTGGCAGTAATGAGTGTGATGCGGCACGACGGGCATCCAGGTGCCTTCTCGGGATTGGCTGGTGGGCAGGCTGACTGCGCCCATTGGTGCTTGCCGGGCGTGCCTGATGCTTGGAACGAGCAGCTGCTAAGGCTGCTGTGCTGAACACTAGTGAACTATGTATTGCCAATGTCAACCAGTGTATGTTGGGTTGCTTAATAGCTGACTGCGCCCACTGCCGCTTGCCGGGTGCACCTGATGCATGGAATGAGCAGCTGCTAAGGCTAGTGCTGAGTTGGAGAGACATGTACCATAGCAAGCAGTGCGAAAGCATCGCATATGCAAGTGACTCCAATATCCTTGCCTGATGCTTGGAATGGAATGAAGTGACTACCGTAGGCACATTCAGGGTAACGTAATTAAATCAGCAGTACCGTAATAAAAAGCATCCAGTCAGGAACAGAGTACTGTAAGGAATTTTCTCGGCATTCCTTACGGAGCCGACTACATCGCGTACAGCAACAGCCGATTGCTCGCCCGTTACTGCTAACGGAACTTCGCCGACTTCGCGCGCACTGTTTTGCCAAACCTCGCACTGCTGGCATGGCCGTATCGGCCTACGCTTCGGGACTAGCCCGAGCCTCGCTCCAGCGTAGCACTAGCAAGCTCGCACGCACCGCGTTACCGTTTTGCATGTTTCGCGTATAAATGTTCGCTCATGCCTTCGCTCACATTTTGTACTCGTTTGACACCTTAGTGCAATTCTCGCTACTTCGATTCATTGCACCCATAACACTTGGTATCAGAGCCCCTTTTCTTTCGGACCGCGCATCTCCGCACACCAGGAAATCAACTTTTGATTTTTCACTCGAAGGGACTCACGCACCTTAGCCCCTAGGAGCCGCTGTCCTCGCGTTCTCTCGTAAACGCGTGCAGCCACGACTGCGCCTAGACTAAGACGAGCCGACGCCCTTCGTCATGGCTGAAAATATCGACGTCACCACCCTCACGCAGGAGCGTTTGAACGATCTGCTGCGACAGCTGCACGAAAGCTCCGAGGAAATCGCGGCATTAACGGCAGAACGCTCATCGCTGCAAAATGACCTCATGAGGGCACAACAAGCACAATCTCAAGCACCTGGCACTCCGATTCAACCTGCACCCTCAACATCACAACACGGGAGTGTGGGGCAACCCGCGAGCGCGGCCAGTGATGGCGTCGTCCGCCCCGACGGAGACGACGACCACGGCACGACACACCCCAGAGCGACGCATGCGGCCCCAAGTCAGCCTCGCGTCACGATTTCGGCACCAACCCACGATTCGGGACTGCCGTCACCGATGCCGCTGAAGCCGCAGCGCCCGCCATGCTTTGACCCGAGTCAACGGGGTGGTCCTACCGTTCAGGCGTGGTTGTTCACAATGAATGTCTTCTTCGACGCCAACTACGTCTCGGAGGACTCGGCGAAGATTCGATACGCCGTGTCGCTGCTGCGAGGACCCGCCATGGACTGGTGGCGCGTCATCGTCACGAAGCCGATAGACTACGCGACACTACCGACACGGGAAGGACAAACCGGACCCTGGGCGCCGTCGTATTTCGTGGAGGTGCCCCAGTATCGCACGTGGGACGCGTGGTGCGCAGGTTTGCGCGCTCGATTTGAGCCAATTGCGGCTTCGATCGCGGCGCGACAAAAGCTCCGCACTTGGCGCCAACTCGGTTCCGTCCAGGACTACACGAGCGGATTTCTGGCGCTATGCGAACAGGTGGGCTACATGCATGAGAGCGAGCGCATCGACCGCTACATCGGCGGCCTGAAGCAGGACATCGCTCAGGAAATCCAGCTTCGCGGCGTCACCGAATTTCAGGAAATTCTCGCTATGGCGGAGAAGCTCGACTTCTTTCGCTGACCGAGACCGGGGTCCTACGGAAACAACAACTGGGGACATCGGCCTCGTGGGACGAACGAAAGCGCCACGATACGCGCCGTCGCCGCAAATGCCGCTGCCGCACCGTTCAAAGGGCGCTGCTTTGCGTGCAATCGGCCGGGACATCGCAAGAGCGAATGCCCGGAAAACGCTAAGGGAAAGGGGGAAGCTGAGCAGCAGACACAGACCAAGCAGCAGGGAAACGCTGGAAGTCAGTAGCAGACGGGCCCCCTACTGACAGGTCACGCCGCTCGCCCGACCCAACCGACCCTCACCGAGTGATTGTGCCGGTTCACGCAATCGACCACACCCGGCCGAATAAGGAGGGTACCACGGTAGACAGCCCTATACTGCTCAGTGGGAAAATTGGGACGGACTTAGTTAAAATCTTCGTAGACGGGGGAGCCAGCCACAGCCTCATTAACACTGCTACAGCACGGAAACTGCGACTGCCACTGGACAGATGCTTATATGAGATCGACGCACGACTGGTAGACGGCACGCCGCTGGCAATACGGGAACGCGTAGACCGAGTTTGGATTCGATGCGGGGGTAACTTCACGTTTAGCCAGGAAATGCTCGCAACGACCCTCGACGGAACCGACATTTTACTCGGGCGTGATTGGCTGCGACGACACAATCCGCGAATTGACTGGACGACGGGTGACTGCACCATGCGAGTGAACGGTAACAACATCGCCTTACCTCGCTGGGGCTCGCCTGGGTCTTCGTCGGTGCGTGTCAATGCGATCACGATGAAACGCGCTGTAGCGGCCGGAGCTGACGTGTACGCGGTTGACATTCGGGAAGCCGAGGCAGCAGACAAGGGAGGGGATTTACAGAAACTGCTGACCGACGTACCGAGTGATCTGGCAGCACTGTTAACACGATACAGTGACATTTTCCCGGATGACTTACCGACGGGACTGCCACCTCAGCGACCGCACGATCACAGGATCGAACTGGAACCGGGGGCACAGCCAACAGTACAGCGACAGTTCAGACTGACCCAACCCGAACTAGACGAACTAAGGAAGCAGCTCGATTACCTGCTCGAGAAAGAATTCATTCGCCCTAGCTCGTCGCCCTTCGCCGCACCAATACTGTTCACACCGAAAAAGGACGGGGGTTTTCGCATGTGCATCGACTACAGGGCACTGAACAGGGTTACCATCAAATCCCGTTACCCCATCCCACGAGCCGACGAACTGATCGACCAACTGCGCACAGCCCGGGTTTTCTCGAAAATCGACCTCCGAGGAGGCTACCACCAAATCCGCGTCAACCCACCCGACTGCCCTAAAACCGCATTCCGAACACGCTACGGATCCTTCGAATACACCGTCATGCCATTCGGACTGACCAACGCCCCCGCCACTTTCCAAATGACCATGAACGAAGCATTCCGCCCACTTTTAGATAAGTGCGTCATCGTTTATCTGGACGACATACTGATTTACAGCCCTGACAGAGCACAGCACTTACAAGACATCGAAGCAATTTTTAAAATCCTGAGTGAGAACCGCCTACTGACCAAAGCATCTAAGTGTGAGTTTTTACAGGACCGCCTGGAGTTTTTGGGACATGTTATTTCAGCTGCAGGAGTGGAAATAGACCCGAAGAAAATTGCGACGATTCAGGCTTGGCACGCGCCGGCCAACTTGACCGAGTTGCAGAGTTTCCTGGGGTTCGTCAACTACGTGCGCCGGTTCGTCCCCGACATGGCGAAGCTGACTGCCCCGTTGACCGACCTGCTGAGGAAGGGGGTTGAGTACACGTGGGGGGAGAAAGAGCAAGCTGCCTTCTCGGCTCTCAAAAACATTTTGTGCTCACCGCCCGTGCTTCACATCGCAGATCCAGACCGTCCGTTCGAGCTCGTCACTGACGCAAGTGACATCGCTGTGGGAGCAGTACTGTTGCAGGACTTCGGGAATGGCCTCCAGCCAATCGCGTACGAGTCCCGCAAGCTACACCCGCCCGAACGCAACTACCCGATACACGACCGTGAAATGCTGGCGATCGTGCACGCGTTCAAAGTTTGGCGGTGTTACCTGACTGGCGCCGACGTGACAGTACAGACAGACCACCGTTCACTACAGTACCTTCGCGCCCAACCGAATCTCAACCCACGACAGATTCGCTGGTTGGACTATCTTGAGTCCAATTTTCACTACACCGTCACGTACAAAAAAGGAGCATCCAACATCGCCGACGCTCTCACCCGCCCCACCGCCCAACTCCACGCCATCCTACTCGCCCAGACCAACCCACTTTTAACTGGCCTATTCACCCACGGATACCGCACCGACCCATTTTTCACGACCGGAAATTCACAGCAACTGGCAGAAGCAAAAGGAGTCTATTACGTAAAAACAGGCACCAACCGCATTTGGGTACCCGCGTACTCACTACTGAGGGAGCTGCTGCTGCAGGAGGCACACGACGAGATTACCTCGGGACATTTCGGGGTAGAAAAAACACGACAGCAACTGCAGCGGTACTATTACTGGCCGGAGCTGTTGACCGACGTACAGCAGCACGTGGGCTCGTGCCCTACGTGTCAGGTGATAAAGAGTTCAAGGAAGCGGAAGGCGGGTCAATTGCAGCCGATCCCACCGCCCGAACGCGCCTGGCAGCAAGTAACCATGGACTTCGTCACAGGGTTACCTTCGAACCCTGGGGGTAACGACGCGGTGATGGTCGTCGTGGATAGGCTGACGAAGATGGCACACTTCGCTGCGTGCAAAAAGTCGATCTCAGCCGAGGAGACCGCTCGCCTATTCATCGCAGCCGTTGTTCGCCTGCACGGGATACCAGCAGCAATTATCAGCGACAGGGACACGAAGTTTACCAGCAACTTCTGGAAGAACCTCTGGGAGCAGTTCGGGACCAGGCTACAGTTCAGTTCGTCGTACCACCCCGAGACCGACGGCCAAACGGAGCGGACGAATCAGACGATGGAGCAGTTGATTCGTGCCACGTGCGACGACCCCACGACCTGGGAGCAGCAGCTGCCGCTGATCGAGTTCGCATACAACAACGCCACATCAGCCACGACGCAGCAGTCCCCGTTCTACCTGAACTATGGGCAAAACCCCACAGTGCCCATGACGCCGAGTCCGGACAACCCAACGCCACGTGCACAACAATTCGCCGAAGTCCTGCAAGCTGCCCGCGCCAGAGCCGCCGAAGCAATAAAAAAGGCCAACGTCATCGCTAAGCGCAACGCTGATCGCCACCGCCGCCCTGTCACGTACCAATCTGGAGATTACGTGCTGCTCGACACGCAAAATCTGCGACTGCCCGACGTACCGAAATTACGACCGCGCTACTGTGGACCATTCCAAATCAGTCACATGATCACACCCGTCACCGCACATCTACTGTTGCCAACCGACTGGTACATCAGCCCTTCGTTCCACGTCAGCCTACTTCGCCCATACATCCCGACCACAAGTCAACTGCCGCGTCACCGCCCACAATCAATGACTCGCCCTGCATCGGAGCCGATCATCGAGCCCGAAAAAATCCTAAGCCATCGGATCCGCCACCCCACGGGAATCAGGAGGATTGAATTCCTCGTTCGCTGGAAGGACCGCACGCCAACTGAAGACAGCTGGGTGCCCCTGCCCAACATCGAAAACCACTCTGCCCTGCAAGTGTACCTGAGGAGCCGGGGATTCCGCGATATACACGCACTCGCGTAGCGGAGGGGGCTTCTTAAGGGGGGGGGTAGTGTAAGGAATTTTCTCGGCATTCCTTACGGAGCCGACTACATCGCGTACAGCAACAGCCGATTGCTCGCCCGTTACTGCTAACGGAACTTCGCCGACTTCGCGCGCACTGTTTTGCCAAACCTCGCACTGCTGGCATGGCCGTATCGGCCTACGCTTCGGGACTAGCCCGAGCCTCGCTCCAGCGTAGCACTAGCAAGCTCGCACGCACCGCGTTACCGTTTCGCATGTTTCGCGTATAAATGTTCGCTCATGCCTTCGCTCACATTTTGTACTCGTTTGACACCTTAGTGCAATTCTCGCTACTTCGATTCATTGCACCCGTAACAAGTACACAGGTGCACACTTCTACAGTAAAGGCATGCAAAACCAAGCAGCAGACAGCACTACTGCTTGCTCTATCTCCCACGTTCACGTGCATTGATACCGTAAGCTCATCAGCTACACTCGTGGCTGAATGTGATACTGTATGATTGCTGACCATGGCCTGGTCACACTGATTGAAATGTTTGATTGAATTAAAAGCCCTTCTTTATTGAAAGCAAGCACATACACACAAGGCAAGCGAAGGGAGTCAGCCCAACACGTGTCAGGCTAGACTGACCAATGATAGACTGGCTCCCTCCCCTCCGCTCCTTTCCTCTGGTCCTAAGAGATTTACGACCCTAACTACCAGTATTCTTGACCAGTCACTGTAGGACGGCTCTTTCCCGCTTTCATGCTGATGGCTGTGGGGTTGCGGAGGTAGTATGGTGGTGTTAGTGGCGGTGATGGTGGTTGATTGTGACAATAGCGGTGGGAGTGATAGTGGTGGTGATGTTAGGAGTACTGTTCATGTCGATAGCGTGGTGGTGCTGCTGAAGCCACTGCTACGGCTGCTGCTTCAGTTTAAGCTACAGCCACTGCTACAGCTGTTCGTGTCGATGGTGCTGGTGGTGCTGCTGAAGCCACTGATACAGCTGCCACTGCTACAGCCGCCACTGCTGCTGTACATCTACTGTTACACGTTCTGCCGCACGATAGCCAGCTCAGCAGCAGCAGCCGCCAATGCTGCTGCTACAGTCACTGCTACTACCACCGCTGCTACAGCCGCCACTGCTGCTCTGTACAGCTGCTGCTAGACGTTTTGCAGCACAATAGCCAGCTCTGCAGCACTCCCAAAGCTCTGGGGCGTCTTGCAATTTGCCAGGCGCTTGCAGTTGAGAAGACCCCCCGTGGCCCCACACGTGCACTGGGAGCAGCGGTCCCCCGGCTTGGGCATGCCCTCTATTCCCGCCATGTAGAATTTTGGTCCCCAGCTGGGCCCCGCTGCCCCGCATATGCCCTCTGCAAGGAAGAGGTGGGGGGCAGGAGGTGGGGGGCAGGAGGTGGGGGGGAGGAGGTGGGGGGGAGGAGGTGGGGGGCAGGAGGTGGGGGGGAGGAGGTGGGAATGGAGAGGGTCAGAGCAGAAATGCCAACAGCAGATATCACTGGGAGAACCACTGAGGGCATGCCCTCTATCCCCGCCATGTACAACTTGGGTCCCCAGCTGGGCCCTGCTGCCCCGCATATGCCCTCTGCTCAGATGGGAGTAGGGGAGGGGAGAGGAAAGGGGGTGGTAAGAGCACTGCAAGAGCAGGTATCACTGGGAGCAGCGGTCCCCTGTGGCTTGGGCATGCCCTCTATCCCTGAGATGTAGAATTTTGGTCCCCAGCTTGGCCCTGCTGCCCCACAGATGCCCTCTGCTTGGATGGGGGAAAGAGGAGGCACAGCAGATCAAGAGAGAGGGAAGAGAGGTAGTAAGAGGACTGGAAGAGCAGGTAGCAGTGGGAGCAGCGGTCCCCCGGCTTGGGCATGCCCTCTATTTCTGCCATATGAAATTTAGGTCCCCAGCTGGGCCCCGCTGCCCCGCATATGCCCTCTGTTCAGATGGGAGTATGGAAGGAGGGGAGAGGAAGAGGCGGCAACAGCACTGTCACGATGGGGAGAGTGGTAACCATGTAACTCACGGATGCCAGAAAACACGCACAGGCCCTTGTCTTTTGAGAGGCATTCACGCATCGCATGGGTGAGGCATGGGTGTGTGTGCGTGTGCCGGTATGGGTATGTGGCAAATGATGCAGGGGCCAGTGATACACCATGGGGAGAGTGGTAACCACGTAACTCACGGATGCCAGAGAAGATGCACACGCCCTTGTCCACTGGCAGGCCCTTGTCAATTCCAAGGGACCATGGGGAGTTTGGCTATGACACCATGGGGAGAGAGTGGTAACCATGTAACTTACGAATTCCGGAGAACACACACACGCCCTTGTCCACCGGCAGACCCTTCTTGTCCTTGCCCCCTCCTCCTATCTTGGTAATCACACACCTACCATGGGTAAGAGGGGCACGAGGGGCACAAGGGGCACGAGGAGCACAAGAGGAGGGTGCAGCAGCGGAAGGTGAGCGGGAGGGCGTGTCACATTGGATGTAACCCCATTGTCCACAGGCAGAGCCTTCTTGTCCTTGCCGCCTCCTCCTATCTTGGTGATCACACACCTGCCACGGGTAAGAGGGGCATGAGGGGTTGAGAGGACAGGGGTCGTGGGGACGAAAGGAGGATGAAGGGAAGGGCGGGGGCAGGCGTAAATGGTTGGTGCAGAGAAATGCCAATGGAGCAGAAAGGCTGACAGGGAGCATTTGAGAGAACATGAGAGCCGGAGAGCACGAGAGGGAATGCAAATAGATGAGAATTTAATGTGATGGGCAGGAGACAGGCTGGGAATGATATGTATTGAGATGTGTTGTCATGAGGGATCCGATCCAATCGACCAGATATGATTTGATTGCATACATGTTTTGCTCTGTCGGGCAGCGGAACTTTCCCACGGGCTGCCCGTTGTAGTCAACGTAGCAGGCGGGCAGGGAGGAGCAGGAGCAGACTGCCCGGTTGGGTCCTGGCATCTTCCTCCTGTAGGTGCAATCACACGTCTTGCAGAGTGCATTGCCCTGCACGCCCTTGGTTCCCACGGCGTATGGTGTGCCGGCATAGCGACAGAAGGAGCCTCCTGAGATAGTGGGAGGAGGGGGAAGGGGAGGGGGAGAGGAAAGAGGGGGAGGGAGGAGGGAGGGTGGAGAGGAGGCAAGGGAGTGAGACGGCTTGCAGAGAGCATTGCGCTTCACGCCCTTGGTGCGTTCTGAGTGGACGCAGAGCAGACTGCCCGGTTGGGGCCGGGTATGTTCCTCCGGTAGGAACAGTCACACGTCTTGCAGAGTGTGTTGCCCTGCACGCCCTTGGTGCCCACGGCATACGGCGTGCCGGCATAGCGACAAAAAGAACCTCCTGGTGGTAGGAGCGGAATAGGAGGTGGTGGGAGAGGTGAAGAGAGAGTGAGCATTTTCCTCCGGTAGGTGCAGTCACACGTCTTGCAGAGCGCGTTGCCCTCTATGCCCTTAGCTCCCACAGCGTATGGCGTGCTCGCATAGCGACACAAGGAGCCTCCTGGTGTGTGGTGGGAAAGGGGGAGGGGATTGGGAGTCAAGAGATTGAGAATTGCCCTGCTGAGAGAGAGGGCTAGCGGGGGAGGCGCGTACTGGTGTAGGTGGAGTTGCAGCGGCCGACGTACTACGTTTCTAACGGCGCGCAGGCAAGGGACGGCGGAGAGCAAGAGGGGGAAAGGGGAGGGCGGGTGGGGGGAAGAGGAGGGCGGCGCGTACTGGTGTAGGTGGAGTTGCAGCGACCGACGTACTTGGCTTCTAAAGGCGGGAGGACGGCGGAGAGGAAGCGGCGGACAGGGAAGGCATGATGGTGGGGGAAGGGCGAGGGCGGCGCGTACTGGTGTAGGTGGAGTTGCAGCGGCCGACGTACTTGGCTTGCGGCGCCGTCGGCACCTGAGTCACCACGCAGCTGCGAGGAGACGGGAGGGGGGAATGCGCGGAGAGTGACGGGGAAAGAGGAGCAACAGGGAATCAAGCAAGGAGTGAGCAAGCGCGCCGAGTCACAAGTGCTCGCTTGAGGCGCTGTCGGCACCTGAGTCACCACGCAACTGCGGGAGAGAGGAGGAAGTGAAGTGTGAGAGACGGGGGCGGGAGAAGAAACAGGGGAGTGAGTAAGCGCGCCGAGTCACTCGCGCCGCACTTTGCGTGCTGACGGCACCTGAGTCACCACGCAGCTGCGGGGAGACGCGCGGGGACGAACGGGGAGAGACGGGCGGGAAGACAAGCAGGGAGTGAGCAAGCGCGCGGAGTCACTAGCGTCCCTAACGCGCGGAAGCGCTCGCGCGACGGAGAAGCAGAGCGGAACGAAGGGGGACGAAGCGGAAGGAAGTGAGACGGAGCACGACGGCGCGACGGAGCTGAACGGAGCGACGACCCGTCTGCGCTGATTGCGGCAGACGGGAACGGAACGGGGTAAAGCAGACAACCGACTTTTAAGGCGCCTCAAAAGGTCGTCTCTTATCCCGCATTTTCGAGGCGCCTCGAAAAACGTAGCGACGACCCGTCTGCGCTGATTGCGGCAGACGGGAAGGGAACGGGGTAGAGCCGACAGCCGACCCCCTTGCGCCCTGACACGCGCGCGCATTCACTTGCGCCCAGTCGTGGGCGCGCATTCATTTGCGCCCAGTCGCGGGCGCGCATTTGCACCCAGTCGCGGGCGCGCATTCACTTGCGCCCAGTCCCGGGCGCGCATTTGCGCCCATTCGCGGGTGCGCATTCGCTTGCGCCTAGTCGCGGGCGCGCATTCACTTGCGCCCAGTCAAGCGCGCGCACTCACTTGCGCTTGTTTCCGCGGCAGAAGGGGTAAACGGGCCGCCGCTCGCTGTCCAGGTAACACGTGGCGCCGTCTGGGAGCGATGCGGACCCCGATGACGCGATGCTGTGGGCACCTGGGGATGAGCGAGGAGTGGGCGCAATGGGGGAGAAATGAGAGGTTAGGAGAAAGGGAAAAAAGGGGGGAAGTCTGAGTCGACTCAAGAGGACCTGGACGAGGCGATGCCGTGGGCACCCGGACGGACGGAAGCGGGGGGAAAGGGGGGGAACTTCTGAGCGCGATGGGCAGCAGCGTCAACTCGAAAGGTTCGAACGAGGCACATGTAAGGTTGGAATGCGCCGGAGGGGCGCATTCGAGGGAGCGAGTGAGCGGGGGAGACACACCCGAGGGAGCGAGTGAGCGGGGGAGGCACACCCGAGGGAGCGAGGGAGCGGGGGAGGCGCACACCCGAGGGGGCGGGAATACGCGCACCTGAACGAGCAGGGGATGCGCGCACCTGAACGAGCAGGGGATGCGCGCACCTGAGAAAGCGGCGAGGAGGACTAGAACGGGTAGTAGCAGCCGGCGGGTCATGGTTGCTGCTGGAGTAAGCCGCGCGATGGAAGCTGGTCTCGGGGCGGCCGCACCTGAACGAGCGGGGGATAAGCGCACCTGACCGAGGCGCACCTGAGAAGGCGGCGAGGAGGACTAGAACGGGTAGTAGCAGCCGGCGAGTCATGGCTGCGGTGGGAGGAAGCCGCGCGATGGGAACTGGTCTCGGGGCGCGAGACGAGGCGCGAGGCGGCCTTGCGAGGCGATGGCACCCAGCGGGTGCTTGCTGTGGTCTATGCTGGCACGACAGACGAGCTGCTTTTAATCGAAAGCTGCACCTAACGTGAAATGCGCTTCTGAAGTGGAAGCTGTTTCGTAAATCCAGAAGCTACTTTTGCTCAACATTTAGTGGGGAGAAATGATCGCGGCGTGCTTATGCTGGACTTCGAAACGCCAGTGATGGACGGGTCGCATGAATCAGGGTTTCGCGAATGTCGGACGGAATCTATCACACAACGGGGGTTGATGGCTTGAAGCAAACTGGAAGGGATTGGAGTGGAGGAGAGACCTTGTCGTGGGGTTGGGTTGTTGTTGGTTGGGTTTCTGCAGGGATGGGGTGGTTGCACAGATGGGAGAGTAGGGCGCAAATCGACGACAGGAAGCAACGAAATGTGGGCGCAACGCGGCTAGGCTGAATGGTGTGGATGACGGCGAGATGCGAGAAAAGGCAGGGGAAGGTGGAACTGTACTCGAGTTGATTGCATGTTTGGGCGTCGCGTAGAAGGGATGGTTGGTTGGGCTGGTCATGAAGAGGGGCAGCCGAAATGTCCGACGGCTGGGATGGAAAGCGAAGGAAGATGGGAAACACCCGTTGGGCGGGAAGAAACGGCGGCGACAAACACGGTCCGAATGCGGAAAGTTATTCGTGTACAGTATACACTATTTCAAAGAAGCCCGTTGGAAGAGAAATGCAGCCCCAGCAATTTGTGGTTCGTGACGTCCTCATGTCCGGTCCGGTCTGGTCCGTTTGTCGAATTGAAAAAAAAAAAAAAAAAAAAATCGGGACTAGCGAGCGACGGCAAATTTTGTTCGCAATGAGGTAGTTGGGTGGGTGGGTAGTGGTGCTTCAACGTCTATCATGATTCATGAAATTCGCGCCTGCGAAGTGATTGATTGAAATTGTCGCACAAGCGATTCGGCATGAAAATGTTTCCGCCGTCGGCCCAACTAGGACAACCGTGAGTGTAAAGAATTGTCGGTGATTCGCTCTGAAGACTGTTTGGGGAGAAGTGACATGTAACCGTCGACAGAAAATTTCGCAACGCAAAAACGCCATTTACAATTAGACTCGGCATTAGGGTCGTAATTCAAGGAGACTCACCATTAAACGCCATGTCCGAAGAAAATAAGAAATACTTCTGCAAAATGATCAACACATAGCAGCTTCAGGTAATTTCTATTATAATTTTAAAAATAAAAAAGAAATCAAATAATTATATTAATTTGTCAGGATATATATAAAATGTAATGAGAATGGAAAATTATTCATACCTTCAAACATGAAGCTACTACTAGAGGTGGAACGAAACGTCTAATAGCACTACAGTCTTCTTTTAACGAATCAATGCTTTGGCATCAGGGTATCGCTGCAACACAGCCTCCAGGAAAATGTCATTTCCTCAGCGGACCGCAATCTCCGAAACCGTATGTTTTTTCTGGTAGGGAACTCTCCGACCGTGGGAGATTTCCGCTTCGAAACTAGGGTAGCGCCACGCAATCCTGCAATTTACTGGGTGGTCAGGTGGTTACCCTCAACGGCTACAAGACAGGATTTAGCCCAGAGGGAGCATGAAAACGACCAGGAACCCCCGAACCGAGAGGGCCGATTGCACTCTTCTTTAGCTGATGCGGAACACCCGACGGTGTGAACCAATGGACAGGAATCGTCAGTGCCAGAGATCAGCTCTCTATGGGTTGCTGAGAGCTTCGTTTAGATTAGCACGGGTGGAGTGGAAGCACTGACACTCAAAATGGTGGTTCGGTATCACGATTAATGAGTGTTAAAAAACGGTAAATCGCACACCCTCAATACTTTCTAGCGCCTCGAGATTGGTTTCGCATCTCTTTGTCATTGGTCGGCGCGGTTGCTGCCATTGCCAATGTGTCCCGCTTGTCCCATGCCCCCCCTTGAGATTCCTTACCGTGCTGGACTCCTCTTCCCTCCCGTACGCACCATATCCCTCCCCACCTCACCTCACCCCACCCTCCCTCGCTTTCTGCCTCCCTTGTGCTGCACAGCACACCCCATTTTGTTCCCTCGCGGCTCCCCTCCTCCCCTGCTCTTCTAACTATGGCTCCTCCAGACAAGTTCTGATTTTCAAGAAACTGTTTCTGGCTTGCTTGGGATTTCCCAGCTGACGTCCCGTCAAACACGTTTACTTCTCAACATAAACCTCGCAATATTTATTGTCCGCCATAGCCGTTGTTTAATCATAGCGTGCGGCTGCATCCGCTTTTCAGCTTTGACAGTCCACGAGATCCGTCCACTGCTGACGGCGTTCCTTCCGAAGCAGAGTCTGCTCTGAGGGCGCACTTTGACAACTGACCGAACGACGAGCCTTTGTTTTAGGAACTCGGGCTCGGCGCAAATGACGGCTGCGCCATCTTTACACGGTTTTAGGATGAGCCGACGGCTTTCAACAATAATTTTGCTTGCAGCCGCCGTTTCTATCGCTGCGCAAATACAGACAGTTTCATCACAAGGTACTACTAGCTATCGTTTTTCGCTACTCGGTAAAGCTTATTGTTTCTCGCTCGTTCAAGTATCTCAGAGGCAGAAGCCTTCCCGAGTTTGTAACTTCGAACGTAAGAAATGTCACATGCCGGTCAGAATATTTTTGAGTCGATTAAGAATTGTTTGTCAGTTCGTGCGTAAAAAAGGATCACATGCCGGTCGAATTCTGTGTTGGAAAAATCGCATGATAGCGTTGAACTCGGGGTGTGCGATGAACACGTCGAGCTACAAGTGTCAGACGAAACTCTGGTTGAAGTGTTAAGCTCGCGCCGCGCGATTCCGGGTTTCTTCAGTATGGTTCCTCCTATTTTTCAAAATATCATATGGTATGCTTAGAAAGTTCCGATCCCGTATTTCTTCCAATCCTCGTTCCTCCGGCTTTTCCGAAGAAGCTTTTCCGTAATTAGTGTAACTCATCTTCTCGTATCCTTTACTATAAAGCCCCGTTGAGGCACTTCCAACCCGGATCTTTGAATCGACTAAAACCAACTATTGGTGCTAGTAATAGCTTCCTCTGTTCCCATTGCTTCCCCCGCAGCGTACAACCCTTGTACGGATAGCCCGTGTGGCATCGGCGGCACGTGTAGCTGGGACACTCAGTACACGTGGACGTGTTCGTGCTATAGCGGGTACGCGGCCTTCACCACTTCATTCGACTTGTCCGGCATAACCGTCTCCGGGCAGACGTGTGTTTGTAAGTCCGTGTACCTGGGACAGTGATTGTACTGAAACGAGCTTGTGCAATAGCGGGTACACCATCTCGTTCCACTTGGCCGGCGTAACTGTCTCCGGGCAAACGTGTGTGTAAGTCGTGTATCTGGGAAGGTGGCTGTACTGAGTCAAGATCGTGCTAGTGCTGTATCGCGTACGACCATTCATATAGCTGTGAGATGAGAAAAAGCACATATTTTGTTTCGCTCGCCTTTTCACGCTCTTACTAAGTCTCACCCCCCCGCTTTCCATCCTCTGTCCCCAGCCGCTTCCCCCATCCACGATTCATTGAACCACTCATCCTGTCCTCTCTCCACTCCTCTCCTCCTCCCCCTCTCTTCTCCTTCACCCCCTCATGCCCTCTCTGCTCTTCACCCGATGCCCTTCCTCCTCACTACCCTCCCTTGTCTCACCCTTTCTCCTCTGTCTCCTGTCTCCCTCATCCCCGTCCCTCCCTCCCCCACCCTCCTCTCCCCCTCATCTCCATTTCCCCCTCCTTCCCCCAGCTTCAAGCTCCTCCCCTTCTTACTCCTCCCCATCCTACTACTCCTCCCCATCCTACTCCTCCCCCTCCCCTCCTTCCACCAACTCCTCCTCCTCCCCTTCCTCCTCCTCGGGTCTGTCCACAGGAGCAGTCATAGGCATAGTGGTGGGCGTGATTCTGCTGCTGCTACTGCTCGGGGGAGTCGGTCTCTTCCTCTGGTTCAGGCACAAGAGCAAGGCCAGTGGGGCTGATAAGCCTGGCCAGGCGTACGGGGGAACTGCGGCAGTAGGGGCTGATCTAGAGGCGAATAAGGGGTATGCTAACCCGTATTATGCGGGCGGGGGGGGCGGAGGCGGAGGGGGAGGCCTTGGGGGAAGTGGAGGCGGGAGCGGGGGGTGGGGAGGTGGGGGAGGGGGGAGCGGGGGGAATGGCATGGCGGCTCCTGTGGCAGGGGGATACGGGGGATCGGGAGGGGCAGGAGGGGGAGGAGCAGCAGCATATGGGGTGGCAGCAGCAGGAGCAGCGGGAGCGTATGGGGCGGCAGGGGGGGGATATGCAGCAGCAGCAGGGCCTCAGGCGGGGATGGGATCTGGGTCTGGGTCTGGGAACGTCATTCACCCCATGTACATGGGAAGTGAGTATGCTTCATCCCTCTGTGCGCCATGCATCATGACCCATGCCCCATACGCTGGGAACTATGCCCCATGCCCCATGAACCATGACCCATGGCCCATACGCTGGGAACTATGCCCCATGCCCCATGAACCATGTCCCATGCCCCATCTATGACCTATGACCCAGGATCCACGACGCACATCCCCACTGTTCTCCCTTCCCGTCTCCATGCTACTATCTAAGTCTCAAACCATGACTTTTGTTCAGTTTACTCAAGGTGACTTTTGAGTCGACTCAAAAGTCTTCCCACAGTTCGCCCTTCCCCTCTCCATGGTACTATCTAATGTCATGGGGAGCATCACCATGAGTTTGTTAACTTTGCTCAAGCGAGCTCTTTTCCGGCGCCTCAAAAGTAGTCCCTTCTCCTCTCCATGCTACCATCTAATGTCTAGAACCATGACTTTGTTTAGTTTCCTTTCCCTTCACTAATTCTCCACCTCCTCCACTTCATAACTCCTCATATTCGTCCATCCAGGTGGCATGTACCAGCAGCAGCAGCCACATCAGCATGCCAACCTGGCACAGCAGCAGCAGCAGCAAGCAGCAGCCTTCCAATCACCTCCGTCCGTCTGTCAGCAATTCGCCCTTGCTGACCTGGCGCGGGCCACGGGTGACTGGGCAGAGAGCAACCGGATTGGCAGCGGGAGCTTTGGTGACGTGTATAAGGCTGTCAGTCCCTTCGATCCCTCTGTGCTGTGGGCCGTGAAGCGAGCGCGCGTGCTGACAAAGGACTTTCAGCGAGAGGTGAGCAGCACAGTGGCTAGGGTGAGCACACTGTACCCAGCAGCACCGTACTGCACCCACTCCGAGACGTCTCAACACATGCCTGTACAGGGCTGTCAGTCCCTTCGATCCCTCTGTGCTGTGGGCCGTGAAGCGAGCTCGTGTGCTGACAAAGGACTTCCAACGAGAGGTGAGTGCTCTGCACCCAGAAAACACCACACCCAGCAGCACCGCATATGCACCCGCAGCACCGCACCGTACCCAGCTTCGAGTCATCTCAACACGTGAGGTGTACAGGGCTGTCAGTCCCTACGAGCTTTCTGTGCCGGGGGCCGTGAAGCGAGCTCACATTCTTGCTAAGGAATTTCAAAAGGAGGTGTGCTGCGCGCACTGCACCCAGCAGCACCGCACAGGACCTGGATCCGTGCGTGGGGGAGGGATTGCACCATTTGCTGCAACCCGGTGCCCCCACTTTCACGCCTGCGAATCCCTGTCCCATCCTCCCCATTCCAGTTGACTTTTGAGTCGACTCAAAAGTCAACTTTCACACCCGCGAATCCCTGTCCCATCCTCACCATTCCAGTTGACTTTTGAGTCGACTCAAAAGTCAACTTTCACACCCGCGAATCCCTGTCCCAACCTCCTCATTCCAGATGGCAGCGATGGCAACCAAGCACCATCCCAACCTGGTGCGTCTTCTCCGCTACTGCATCCACATGAACCCAGCAGCACCGCACTGCACCCCTGCTCCCCTTCCTCCGGTTCCTCCCTCTTTTACTCCAGGTGGCAGCCATGGCGACAAAGCACCACCCCAACCTGGTGCGGCTACTCGGCTACTGCATCGATATGCACCCAGCAGCACCGCACTCCACCCAGGGCGAACTGAGCATGGAGCAGATAGTGGTGTACGAGTTCATGGCCAACGGGGACTTGGAGCGGTGGGTGGGGGAGGGGGCGGCACAGCCGCTGCCGGTGGCGCAGCGCGTGGCGGTGCTCATCGGGGCGGCCCAAGGGATCGAGTATCTGCACAGCTTTGGCATCGTGCACCGCGACATCAAGCCCGCCAACATCCTCCTCGATGACAAGCTCGAGGTGAGCAAGCTAGCGCCTTTCCTAAGGGCTACGCCCTTCCCCCTTGCACAACGGTGGGAGACACTTGCATCATGGGCACACCCTTGCTCTACCTTCTCTCTCTCATGCGCCTCACGCTCCCTTGCCTTGCATGTTATCCCCATGCTCACCTCCCAATGCCTTACACCCCCTTGCCTCCAGGCCAAGGAAGCGAACTTTGGGCTGCTGAGGCAGAACGAGGGCACGGTGGTGGGGGACGCTCGTGCCATGGGCACACACACACACACCCCTTCTCCTCCTCTTTTCCCTCATTCGCCCCACATTCCCTTGCCCTGCATGCAATCCCACCCTCACCTCCGACCCTTAATCCCACCAGGCCAAGGTAGCCGATTTTGGACTGACGAGGCAGAGCGAGGGGACAGCAGTGGGAGACACTCGCTTCATGGGCACACGCACCATTGCTCCACTTTCCCACCCTCATTCGCCTCACATCCCCTTGCCGTGCATGTTATCCCCACGCCCACCTCCCAATGCTCTCAGGCCAAGGTGGCAGACTTTGGGCTGCTGAGGCAGAACGAGGGCACGACGGTGGGAGACACTCGCATCATGGGCACACCGGGCTATGTGGACCCCGCTTACTTCAAATCCAACAAGGCCACCCCCATGGCCGATGTATACAGGTACAGAGCGGTCCAGTGTGGTACACCGGTACATTTGAGCGGTACAGAGCAGTGCAAACTGGTGTTGCCATGGAAGAGAGTACATGAAAGTGGCAGGCACACCGGGCTGTGTCAACTCCGCATAATTCAAGTTCAATAAGGCCAGCCCCATGGCCGATGTGTACAGGTACAGAGCGGTGCAGTGTGTTACAGAGTGTTCTTATCCTGTGAGGAAGAGTGCAATGGATAGGCATACCGGGCAATGTGGAAACCCGCTTATTTCAACTCCAACAAGGCCACTCCCATGGCCGATTTCTACAGGTACAGAGCGGTGGAGTGCGGTACAGCTTCATATTGAGCAGTGCAATATGGTGCAAACCGGTATTGTGTTGAGACGATTTTTGAGGCGCCTCAAAAATATGGTGCAAACCGGTATTGTGTTGCAAGGGATTGCTTGGGAGGGAGTGATGGGCACACGGTTCTACCTGGAACAGTGAGGTACAGACCAGTGCTAACCGTTACAGAGTGGTGGAGAGAGGTACAGAATGATATGAAGCGGTATTGAGCGAACGGCACCTCTCAGCTTTGGCATCCTCATCCGCAAGGCAGTCAATGGGGAAGTTGTTTTAGTCGACTAAACTACCGCTCTCCACTCCTTTCCGTACCTTCCCACCCTGTTCACTTCTCTTCCCCTTTCATGCCTCCCCATCCCCCAGCTTTGGCATCCTCATTCTGACCACAATGTCCGGCCACAATGCACTGAAAGCGGATGAGAACGGCAACAATTTCAACGTCAGGAAATGGGTGAGTTCACGAGCAACGCGGGGAAAGAAGTGATCTGGCTATTTCAACAAGGGGAGGGGGGAGGTTGAAGATTTTCTGAGGCACATATGGAGGAGGAGTTTTGGAGTAAAGTAGGTACACTGGGGTGATTAACTCGCCTGTGTGATTAACTCGCCTGTGTGACTAACTCGCCTTTGTGGTTTCAACCTCCATGCCAAGCAGGCAGGCACCATTCCATTCAACCTCTCATCCTCCCCGCTCTTTCCCTTCACTCCCCCACTCCCTCTTGTGAACCCTTCCCATCAGGCGGAGTCATTAGTTGCGGCCGGCAAAGCGGAGGAATTAAAAGACCCGCGATTGGACGCCCCGGCAGATTTGATTCTGCGGCTGGCGCAGCTGGCGCTGCGCTGCACGGCCATGCCCACCGTGTCTCGTCCTGACATGATCCAGGTGGTATCTGAGCTCACGGCTCTCAGGAAGGAGTTTCTGGGGAAGGTGTCGTCTAGGATGGCTGAGAGGATTGATGAGGAGGTGGAGTCCCAGAGAGTTGGGAATTTCAGTGCGGAAATAGCGATGATTGAAAGGCTGGCGTTTCAGGGTAGCACCAGTGCAATGAGCATTCGCTGAAGGGGTTGGAATGGAGGCAGATTTTTAACGGTTTTGTGCTCTGCTCTGATCAATAATTAAATGTAATGTTTCCATTCAAACTCAGCACGCGTTATTTCAAATGTTGGTGTTATCGGATCAGGAAAGGAGTTGTCTACAATTCGTAGAATCTTTCGAACTGATAAACTACGATACATCGGACTGTAATGAGGCTTCGAATCGCAAGACCGCCTCACTACCCAGGAGGTCTTGTAATTGGAGGAGTGATCTCAGGAAAGTCAACGCGGGTCAAATGAGAGATTTTTCTCGAACAGAAGCTGGACAACACGTCCTCCCTCCCCCACACCACCCCACCACCCTCCCTCGCTTTCCACCTCACTTCTGCCACCCCCGTCCCTTCCCCTGCCAACACTCCCATGCATGTCTAATTCTCAAGAATCTGTTTCTGGCTTGCTTTGGGCGTTCTGGTTGACGTTCCTTCAACACATGTGACCCTCAACACAAACTTTGCGATTCACTATATTTATCGTTCACTAAAGCGCTGATCTACATAATCGCCGCGTCCATTTGCATCCGCTTTTCAGCTCTGACTCAGAAAGTCGACATAATCCCGTGCGGCACGCTTTTTGTTTGAGCTAATGACTTGGCGCGCCTTCACGACAGCGACTGACCAAACGACGCTCCAAGAGCTCGGCTTTGGCGCAATGGCGGATGCGGGAACCATACACAGCCTTAGGGCGAGCCGACGCCTATTAACAATCGTTTTGTATGCAACCGCCATTTTCACCGCCGCGCAAATTACGGCTGTTTCGTCACAAGGTACGACTTGCTACCATTTTCCAGACTTCTCGTTTTTTATTCTATTATCCATAGCTTATCACATGTTTTCTCGCACGTTCAACTTTCTCAGAGGCTAGGAGCTTTTCCGAGTTAGTCAGTTCGAGCATAAAATATAGCTCACATCCGGTCAATGGCTGTTTTTAAAGAATCGCAGAAAACGCCGCCAATTTCGGGATCTCAGATGAAAGCGTTTGAGCTCGAAGTATCAGCCTTGATGAAACTTTATTGAAGCGTTCAGCGGGCGCTGCGATTTCGAGATTCTTCAGTATGCTTCCTCCTACTTTCAACTATCATAGTAAGCTCCAGGAATTTCCTATCATAATGCACGCAGTTGTAAAGTGCTATAACGTAACGAATATTTATCAGCTCCCTTCCGGAAAAGTGCTGCTGGATATGCATGAAGTGGTAATACGCCTCTCATGTTGAGGCGCCCCAAAAATAGTTATAAATACGCCTCTCATGTTGCTGCTATATCGCGGACGACCACTCACAGCCGCTGTGAGGTGGTAGAAAGTCCAATTTCTGTTCTGGCTTCCGAATACAGCGTCTCACTCCGTCCCACCTCGCCCGCTTTTCATCCATTCAACCATTCTTTTTCCGTTCGAGTCAATGCACCTCTCATTCTGTCCTCTCCCCCCTCTTCTCCCCTCCACGCTCCCCTCTCCTGTCATCCCCTCATGCACTACATGATCTACAATCAACGTCCTTCCTCCTCGGAACGCTCCCTTTCGAGGCGCCTCAAAAGCCTCACTACATGCTTTACAACCAATGTCCTTCCTCCTTACAACGCTCCCGCTGCTCACCCTGTTTCCGTCCTCCCCTGCCCTCTGCCTCCCCACATGTATCCCCCCTTCCCCCCCTTTTCCCCAGCTTCAAGCTCCTCCCCATCCCACTCCCCATCCTACTACCCATCCTACTCCCCATCCTACTCCTCTCCATCCTACTCCCCCTCTTACTCCACCCCATCCTACTCTCCCTCTTACTCCACCCCATCCTACTCCCCCTCTTACTCCACTCCATCCTACTCCACCCCATCCTACTCCACCCCAACCTACTCCCCCTCTTACTCCTCTCCATCCTACTCCCCCTCTTACTCCACCCCATCCCACTACTCCTCCCCACCCCCTCCGTCCTCCTCCAATGCCTACCCCTCCTCCTCCTCTAACGGCCTCCCAACGGGAGCAATGATAGGAATCGTGGTGGGGGTGCTGCTGCTGCTGCTAGTCCTGGTGGTCGGTCATTTCCTCTGGTTCATGCATAAGAAGAAGGCCAGTGGGGCTGATAACGCTGGCCAGGCGTATACTGGAGCTGCGGCAGCAGCAGCAGCAGCAGCAGGGGCTGATTCAGAGGCCAATAAGGGGTATGCAAACCCGTATTATGCGGGTGGGGGGGGCGGAGACGGAGGGGGAGGCGTTGGGGGGAGTGGAGGGGGGGGGGGGGGGGGGAAGGCATGGCGGCCCATGGGGCAGGGGGATACGGGGGATCAGGAGGGGCAGGAGGGGCAGGTGGGGCAGGGGTGGCAGCGTATGGGGCAGCAGGAGCAGCAGAATATGGGGCAGCAGCAGCAGCAGCAGCAGCAGCAGCAGCAGCAGGGGCGCCGTACGGGGCGGCAGCAGGCGGGCCATATGGGGCGGCAGCAGGGGGAGCGTATGGGACGGCAGCAGGGGGGGCGTATGGGGCGGCAGCAGGGCTGCCATATGGGGCGGCGGCAGGGGGGGGATATGCGGCAGCAGCAGGGCCTCAACGGGGGATGGGGTCTGGGTCTGGATCCGGGAACGTCATTCACCCCATGTACATGGGAAGTGAGTATGCTTGATTCGTGTGTGGCATGACCCATGTGACATGACTTATGACCCATGAACGTCATCACCCCATGTACATGGGAAGTGAGTATGCTTGATTCGTGTGTGGCATGACCCATGTGACATGACTTATGACCCATGAACGTCATCACCCCATGTACATGGGAAGTGAGTATGCTTGATTCGTGTGTGGCATGACCCATGTGACATGACTTATGACCCATGAACGTCATCACCCAATGTACATGGGAAGTGAGTATGCTTGATTCGTGTGTGGCATGACCCATGTGACATGACTTATGACCCATGAACGTCATCAACCCATGTACATGGGAAGTGAGTATGCTTGATTCGTGTGTGGCATGACCCATGTGACATGACTTATGACCCATGAACGTCATCACCCCATGTACATGGGAAGTGAGTATGCTTGATTCGTGTGTGGCATGACCCATGTGACATATGACCCATGAACGTCATCACCCCATGTACATGGGAAGTGAGTATGCTTGATTCGTGTGTGGCATGACCCATGTGACATGACTTATGACCCATGAACGTCATCACCCCATGTACATGGGAAGTGAGTATGCTTGATTCGTGTGTGGCATGACCCATGTGACATATGACCCATGAACGTCATCACCCCATGTACATGGGAAGTGAGTATGCTTGATTCGTGTGTGGCATGACCCATGTGACATATGACCCATGAACGTCATCACCCCATGTACATGGGAAGTGAGTATGCTTGATTCGTGTGTGGCATGACCCATGTGACATGACTTATGACCCATGAACGTCATCACCCCATGTACATGGGAAGTGAGTATGCTTGATTCGTGTGTGGCATGACCCATGTGACATATGACCCATGAACGTCATCACCCCATGTACATGGGAAGTGAGTATGCTTGATTCGTGTGTGGCATGACCCATGTGACATGACTTATGACCCATGAACGTCATCACCCAATGTACATGGGAAGTGAGTATGCTTGATTCGTGTGTGGCATGACCCATGTGACATGACTTATGACCCATGAACGTCATCAACCCATGTACATGGGAAGTGAGTATGCTTGATTCGTGTGTGGCATGACCCATGTGACATGACTTATGACCCATGAACGTCATCACCCCATGTACATGGGAAGTGAGTATGCTTGATTCGTGTGTGGCATGACCCATGTGACATATGACCCATGAACGTCATCACCCCATGTACATGGGAAGTGAGTATGCTTGATTCGTGTGTGGCATGACCCATGTGACATGACTTATGACCCATGAACGTCATCACCCCATGTACATGGGAAGTGAGTATGCTTGATTCGTGTGTGGCATGACCCATGTGACATATGACCCATGAACGTCATCACCCCATGTACATGGGAAGTGAGTATGCTTGATTCGTGTGTGGCATGACCCATGTGACATATGACCCATGAACGTCATCACCCCATGTACATGGGAAGTGAGTATGCTTGATTCGTGTGTGGCATGACCCATGTGACATATGACCCATGAACGTCATCACCCCATGTACATGGGAAGTGAGTATGCTTGATTCGTGTGTGGCATGACCCATGTGACATGACTTATGACCCATGAACGTCATCACCCCATGTACATGGGAAGTGAGTATGCTTGATTCGTGTGTGGCATGACCCATGTGACATATGACCCATGAACGTCATCACCCCATGTACATGGGAAGTGAGTATGCTTGACCCCTCTGTGACATGGATGATGCAAGACGGTTTTCACGCG